GAGATCCTGCACCATGCGGTACTGGTCAGGCTGACCTTTAACAGTTCTCTTTTTAACCGGAAAAAGTGGAGTATTGCATGGAGATGTACACTTGATGAGGGCACCTTTGGCAAGGAGACTTTCAACTTGTCTGGTAATGGCTTCAGCTTGTGCAGGCTTCAGAGGGTACTGTGGCCTGCGAGGAGGCAGTACCCCAGGCAGGAGCTGGACTAAGACTGGGGGCACATGTAATCGCCCAATATCATCCGGGCCAGTGGACCAAAGTTCTTGAGGGATACGATCCAGAGCACTGGGGGTTTGTGGGACCCGTGCATCCCCTGTATTGTCAGTTAGGTTTAACAAAATAGGGAGTGAACAGAGGACAGAGGTATCCTTTTGTGATAAGGGGGTTGTCAATTCAATCTGCCCATCTGCAGTGAAGGTAATGGAGGCCTGGAGCCGAGAGAGAACATCGGCACCTAGGAGGTTAATGGGGCAGGTAGAGGAAACAACAAATCGGGAGAGGATGTGTGAACCTACGTGTAGGAGCTTAGTAAGGGGGTTGCTGCGTGGTGTACCATCCACCCCAACACAGGAAACATCAGTATCAGATAAGAAAGATGGGTCTGGCAGGTCTTGTTCCCTAAGGACACTACGGGCTGCACCTGTGTCAACCAGTGGCGTACACATGACCCATGGGGCCCCGGTGCGAAAATTGATCCGTGGCTAAAGGGCCTCCCCCATCCCCCGCAGACACTGCCATGGCAGGGATTGCTGACACAGGCTTGCCGGTTACCTATTGCAATAAATCCAAATGGGCCTGGTCTGGTCCCTGGTACCGGCGGGAAGTGGAAGGAGGGTTAGCAGAATGCATGGGGGGACGGGATGGGCGGAGGGTATGATGGGGTTGGCCGTCTAGGAAATCATCATTGTCATACCCTTCAGCGGAGGGTGAAGTATATGCACGAGTTTCTGATGCAGGGAGCCGGGCTTGAGTCTATTCAGGAGGAGGAGGAGGAGGAGGAGGTGGTGGTGGGGGAAGCTGAGGCAATTGCGGATGGGGAAGGGCGGGGAGGTAACCAGGGGAAGGGAAGTTGTAGCCAGTGACATGGGGACTTTGGTACCGGGGAGTTTGCTGGCGGAACACTCTAGGCTGTGGGCAATCTCTTCTAAAGTGTCCTGGCTGATTACAATTAAAACAGGTCCGGATTGTCGTGATAGTCCGGTCCCGGGGGAAAGGGATTGGTGCAGGCAGTGTCTGGGGTGATTGAGTGTACTGTTGGGGGAACATCTGAGGAACTTGGTTAGAACCAGCAAGTGGTGTGGAGGTGGTGTACATCAGCGGACTAGCCCTACGCTGTGTGGGTTGTAGAACAGATTCTAAGCCCTTGGCTACCAACAAAAGGGTGTCTAGTGGAATTATTCTATACTCAGGGCGAGCTAAAATCAACCCCTTACGAATGTGTTCTCTCAGTCCTGCCACAAAGGCTGCAGATAGCATCTGGGTGTGTGCCTTATTGTAAGTGCTGAACCCTAAGTCCGAGAAAGTCTGAGTCAACCTAGAGTGGTACTTTTCAACAGTCTCAAGTTTGTCCTGTATTATGTCATTAATGCAAGTAGCCTGGTCAGCCAGTTTATCCTGCGCCCAGGCGCGAAGTTGTTCGCAGAAAATTTCACCAGAACGAAAATCAGTATCAGAAGTAAGTGGAGCGTCACTAAAGCTCCGTTCCATGATTGGCCAGTATGCATCTCCAGCCTTAATTTCACATAAACTAATAAGATCCCGCCAAGCAGCGGAATATGTCTTACGGATCTGAGCCATCCTGCGGAAAAAGGGCATGGGGTGTTTCTCAGGATCAGGGAGTGAGGTCACAAGGGTAGCGGCTTGGGAAGGGTTAAAAGTAACATACATAGGTGGTGCACCATCCGCACCATGACTAATCTGAGTGTACCCCTGGGGAATGGAGTGCCGTTGGGGAAGCCTTTCCCCCCCCCGGTGGGGTGAGCTCTGGTCCACCACAACCACCTCCTCGGGCACCACCGGACCACGGTGAAGAGTAGCCTCAGGGGTAGCTGTAGCGGGGGCAACTGGGAGGGCGGTAATAGGAGAGGTAGCAGGGTGGAAGCCCGAGGCTTGGGGGGAGGCACCCATCGCATAGGGCTGGTCCGAAGTCGCAGATACCTTGGACCCAACCACCATGATTGGGTAACTAGTGCTGGCGGAAGGGACATGGGGAACTAAAGCTGTGGAAGGGGCCATCATGGGGGCCGGCGGGGCTGGGCATGAGTGGTGGGTGTTTAGGACATGAGCAAGAGCAGAGATTGGATCGGAAGGCTGGGGAGGTTAGAGGGAGACAAGGGAGGGGTCGAAGGTTCGGGGGGAGGAGGAGGAGGAGGAGGTATATCAGTGGGAGGCAGTGCAGGGATCGCGGAGTTAACCAGGGAAGTGACAGCAGTGAAAAGGGCGGATATCGAGGTAGACAGGTCATTAGTCATGGATGCGTCAAGGGTTTCCGGGGAAGGGGTTGGAGGGATTGGAACAAGGGGCTGTGGCAGAGCAACGTGGGCGGAGGCAAGGGATGGCAAACCAATCAGTGGAGGAGTAGGCAACGAGGTAGAGGGGGCCGGGACTTCGGGAGGAGGAGGTAACACTGGAGAAGGGGATGGAGAGGTGGTAACAGGGGGTTGGGTCAGGGCGGTGAGGGCAGAGATTAGGGACGGCAAATCGGCCGTGGGAGGGAGGGGTAACGAGGTAGAGGGGGCTGGGACTTCGGGAGGAGGAGGTAACACTGGAGAAGGGGTTGGAGAGGTGGTAACAGGGGGTTGGGTCAGGGCGGTGAGGGCAGAGATTAGGGATGGCAAATTGGCCGTGGGAGGGAGGGGTAACGAGGTAGAGGGGGCTGGGACTTCGGGAGGAGGAGGTAACACTGGAGAAGGGGATGGAGAGGTGGTAACAGGGGGTTGGGTCAGGGCGGTGAGGGCAGAGATTAGGGACGGCAAATCGGCCGTGGGAGGGAGGGGTAACGAGGTAGAGGGGGCTGGGACTTCGGGAGGAGGAGGTAACACTGGAGAAGGGGATGGAGAGGTGGTAACAGGGGGTTGGGTCAGGGCGGTGAGGGCAGAGATTAGGGACGGCAAATCGGCCGTGGGAGGGAGGGGTAACGAGGTAGAGGGGGCTGGGACTTCGGGAGGAGGAGGTAACACTGGAGAAGGGGATGGAGAGGTGGTAACAGGGGGTTGGGTCAGGGCGGTGAGGGCAGAGATTAGGGACGGCAAATTGGCCGTGGGAGGGAGGGGTAACGAGGTAGAGGGGGCTGGGACTTCGGGAGGAGGAGGTAACACTGGAGAAGGGGATGGAGAGGTGGTAACAGGGGGTTGGGTCAGGGCGGTGAGGGCAGAGATTAGGGACGGCAAATCGGCCGTGGGAGGGAGGGGTAACGAGGTAGAGGGGGCTGGGACTTCGGGAGGAGGAGGTAACACTGGAGAAGGGGATGGAGAGGTGGTAACAGGGGGTTGGGTCAGGGCGGTGAGGGCAGAGATTAGGGACGGCAAATCGGCCGTGGGAGGGAGGGGTAACGAGGTAGAGGGGGCTGGGACTTCGGGAGGAGGAGGTAACACTGGAGAAGGGGATGGAGAGGTGGTAACAGGGGGTTGGGTCAGGGCGGTGAGGGCAGAGATTAGGGACGGCAAATTGGCCGTGGGAGGGAGGGGTCCTGGGTCAGCGGGGAGACAGAGATCCGGAGGAATAGGGCCGGTGGAAAGGGTATGGGTCAGGGGAGTTGGATGTGTAATAGACGGAGAGGGTGAGGGAACGGGAGTTACTAGGGAAGGGGTACTCAGGGTTGAGAGGGAAGCGGAGGAGGAAGGTGGGACTTCAATGGGTAAGGTGGGGAAAGCCATGGCAGGGTCCGGAGTGGGGACGGTCACTGGGAGAGGTAGCGAAGGACATGAAGGCGGAGGGGCTTCGGCAGGCATGATGGAAGGATGGCTGATGGAAGGGGTTGGGTCATAGGGGGGTTGAGGCATGGGAGTAGGTGGGAATGAGTGAAGTGGGACTGGATAATAGTAAGCACCATCCGCACCAAGTACGGGGCACAGGGGAGTGGGAGCTGAAGGCACACCCCCGGAGGGTGGGGTTTGTGCTGTGACGGGAGAAGCAGGGCGGGAATTAAGTGTTGCGCCCCGGGCACCATCATAGGGCGGTGGTCGTGGAACAATAGAAACAACATCATCATTGTGAACACTCCTATGATAAACATACACAATTTGGCCCTTGAACTCCAGTTCTTCCTCGACCCATCCTTCCCGTTTCAAACCTCTAGCTACCCGATACCAAGCCTCTGCAACCTTCGTAAGTCCATTATCCAACAACAACCCTTCCTTGTCTATGAGTAGCTTTCTCCAAAACTCAGGCTGCAATCTCCCACTGGGCAACATCTGGAAGCCACACACCTTAGCAATCTTTTTAAGTTTCAACATTGCATCTTCCCCTGCCCTTTCTTTCACAATGTCACAAGCCAACAAGCCCTTAGCAGGTCTAGCGTGTTCCTGTCCCATTTTGAGTAAACGAAGCGTGCCACGCGCTAAAGACAGATAAATAGAGGAGGTACAAGGGAAAGAGAATGTCTACAGTGCTCGACTGCCACGAGAACTGCCACGAGAACTTGAGCCCCGAGAAAATGAACGTGGCTGCGCTAATGAGAAGACATTTGCAAAAATCACAAACATATAAATGAGCGTAAACTCCGGAATCCAGAACTAACCACACAATACACACACACACCAAGGGTACCCACACTGTAACAACAATTAAACAGAAACCACAGAATGATAGAGAGCAAAATAGCCATGTACATGTTAACACCACCGGTGTCAGATATTCAGGGTATAACAATCCCCAGCCTTCACCCACCAGGCTGGTCCCGGCAAAACACTGGTACCAAAGGAAATACTGCAATAATCAAACAAAAATCCCAGCCCCACTGGCTGCAATGCGTTCCCTGCCCGCCAGGCAGTCAAGCTAACATAAAAACCCAGCCCCACCGGCTGAAATGCGTTCCCTGCCCGCTAGGCAGTCAAGCTAACATAAAAACCCAGCCCCACCGGCTGTAATGCGTTCCCTGCCCGCTAGGCAGTCAAGCAAACATAAACCGCGTTCCCTGCCCGCTAGGCAGTCAAGCAAACATAAACCGCGTTCCCTGCCCGCTAGGCAGTCAAGCAAACATGTAAAATGCGTTCCCTGCCCGCTAGGCAGTCAAGCAAACATATAAAATGCGTTCCCTGCCCGCTAGGCAGTCAAGCAAACATGTAAAATGCGTTCCCTGCCCGCTAGGCAGTCAAGCAAACATGTAAAATGCGTTCCCTGCCCGCTAGGCAGTCAAGCAAACATGTAAAATGCGTTCCCTGCCCGCTAGGCAGTCAAGCAAACATATAAAATGCGTTCCCTGCCCGCTAGGCAGTCAAGCAAACATATAAAATGCGTTCCCTGCCCGCTAGGCAGTCAAGCAAACATATAAAATGCGTTCCCTGCCCGCTAGGCAGTCAAGCAAACATGTTTTAAAGGTATAATAAACACACACACATAAATGAATACAGGAGGCAGATAGACAATCGACAGGTTCACTTAAAAAGGGCGCACCGGATGAGTTAATTACCTGTCTCTAGTAGCCTTCTGGAAGCCGGAAGTGGACTCGGAGACAGACCGGCACAAAACAGGAGAATAACACAGGCAACGGCTGTATTATGGAGGTGATCAGGCTCCGCTTGTCCCACTTTCCGGAGGTCCGCTCCGGTCCGTTGGTTCCGGCTCACCGAACCGGCTCTCCGGTGGGCCCCACGTTGGGCGCCAATTGAAGTGGAAAAATCAATTAAAGTATTGATTATTTCTTTGTGTATCTGCCCCTGGCCAAATCAATGAAACAATGCGTGCACGCTCCCTGAAGTAATTCACACCAGACACAGGTTCTAGGTTGTTGAATAACTTGAGGAAAGTTTATTCAGAGGGGACGGCAAGTCCCTTTTAAAGCAAAATTACATCATAAGCATTGTCAGAGATAACATGGAATAATACATCAATAATTGGTTAGGTGTTAAGTGGTTGCTTCAATGCTCTGCCTACTGTAGGTGATGTCACCGGGGCCATGAGAATCTCCCACGGTTTCCCGGCGCCATCTTGGTGCACGAGGTAGTTAGTCGATGTTAGGAAGGAGAAAGGAAGGGGGAGGGGGAAGGAGCTAGAAGCTTCCAGCAGCCATCTTGATTATAACGTGTGTGCTTAGCTATATATATATATCGTGAAATGAGTAAATAGACATTTTTCACTAACTAGGAAATATGTGTAGACCTTATTTCCACAACAGTATGTAAGGTAGAGGTTACACTGGGAGGCCATAAGCTTTCCTAAAGAGATGGGTTTTAAGGCACTTCTTAAACTATTGAAGACTAGGGGAGAGTCTGATGGCAGTAGGCAGGCTATTCCATAGGAAGGGAGCCGGCCGCGAGAAGTCCTGCAAGCATGAGTTGACCATACAGGTGCGAACAGGAGGTGGTCAAGGTCAGAGCGGAGAGACAAAGAAGATACCTATGGATCTGTGAAGAGAAATGAGGGGCTAGAATTGATCAGTGCTTTATAGGTATGGGTTAGCACTTTGAATTGACTCCTATAGGATACAGGAAGCCAATGTAAGGACTGACAGAGGAGTGAGGTGTGAGGACAGACTAGAGAAGAAAATCAGCCTGGTGGCTGCATTCATTACAGACTGTAGCGGGGCAATATGGCTTTTAGGGAGACCAATCAGGAGAGGGTTACAATAATCCATGTGGGAAATTACTATAGCATGGACAAGCTCCTTGGTAGCATCTTGTGTAAGAAAGTGGCAGATGCAGACTATGTTTTTAAGTTGGAATCTACACGATTTGGCAACAAAGTGGATGTGAGGCTCAAAGGTGAGGCCAGAGTCAAGTATGATGACAAGACAGCGTGCTTGCAAGGATGGACTTATGTGGAAATCACTGACTTGAAGGGAGAGCGAAAGAGGAGGATCAGTATTAGGAGGAAAGACAAGGGGCTCAGTTCTAGAGAGATTGAGTTTCAGAAAGCGGGAGGACATCCAGTCAGAGATGGAAGAAAGGCAAGCAGTGACACGTTGCAGGACGTCAGGGGAGAGGTCCGGGGAGAAGAGATAACTGGGTGTCATAAGCGTTCAGGTGGTAGTGGAATCCAAGAGAGGCTATAAGTTTGCCAAGAGAGGCAGTATAAAAAGAAAATAGAAGGGGGCCAAGGACAGAGCCTAGGGGAACGCCAACCCAGACAGGACAAGGGGAGGATGTATTATTAGAAAAGGAGACACTGAATGAGCGTTGGGAGAGATAAGAGGAAAACCATGAGAGAACAGAGTCACAGAGACCGAGTGATTGAAGAGTTTGAAGGAGGAGAGCATGATCAACGGTGTCAAAAGCAGCAGAGAGGTCAAGGAGAATTAATATGGAGTAGTGGCCTTTGGATTTAGCTGCGATTAGGTCGTTAGTAACTTTGATAAGAGCAGTCTCAGTAGAGTGGAGGGGGCGGAAGCCAGACTGAAGAGGGTCAAGGAGAGAGTTGGAATTGAGGAAGTGAGACACACGGGCAAAGACAAGTCTTTCCAGAAGCTTTGAGGAAAAAGGGAGCAGGTATATGGGACGATAGTTAGAGTGGGAGGATGGGTCAAGAGATTTTTTGTTTTTTTTCCCAGGATAGGTACACTACAGTGGCATGTTTAAGGTAGGAGGGACAGTGCCAGAAGAGAGAGAGAGCAGTTGAAGATGTGTGTGTTAGGGAAGGCACAAGACAGGGGAAGAGAGATCTGATAAGGTGAGACGAGACAGGATCGAGTGGGCAAGTGGTGTGGCGAGAGGAAAGGAGAAGCGCAGCCACCTCTTGTTCAGTAGCCGAGGAGAAAGTCTGAAGGGTAGGAAAGGCATGATGTATGAGTGGTTGAGAAAGAATGGCAAGGAGGGGAGAATTCTTTCCTTAGCTGTTCAATCTTGTCGATAAAGTAGCATGCAAAGCTATCAGCTGCAAGGTTAGTTTGGGGGGTGGCCACAGCAGGGTGGAGAAGAGAGTTAAAGGTGTCAAAGAGATGTCTGGGATTGCAGGAGCATGAACTAATGAGAGGGGAAAAGTATGACTGTATGGCGAGGGCAAGGGCTGCGCTGTATGAACATCATATGAATCTATAATGGAGAAAGTCTGCCTGGGTACGGGACTTCCTCCAGGAGAGTTCAGCACAACAGGAGCAACTCTGCAGATAACATGTTGATTTAGTATGCCACGGTTGGGGTCGTGTCCTCCTCGATGTGCATATTTGGAGCGGTGCTGCAGCATTCAAGGCAGAGGTGAGGGTAGTGTTATATGTGGAGATGGCCAGTGAGGGAAGGGATGGGTAGCAGTTGTGAATCAATTTTAGCTGACAGCTGCTGGAGGTCAATAGAATTAAGGTTCCTCCTGAGTTAAGGGGGGGGGGGGGGGGCTGAGGTTGTTGGGTGAGGGGGTACTTGAGAGCAAACAGTAAGAGGTTGTGACCAGAGAGGAAATGGAGTGCTGCTGATAATAGATACTCTACATGAATAAGAGAAAATAAGGTCAAAGGCAGAGTTTTAAAAAGGTGCAGTGGGGTGAAAAGAGAAAACCTACACCGCCACCATTACTCTCTGCTTATCTTTGATTGTGGGTAAAGTGAAGACCATCAAATGATGGTCCAGGGATTGGAAATAGTATCCCCCCTCCCAGGCAAAGGTAAGAAGGGAGAGGGGATATAAGTATTTTTATTAAAGAGAAAAAAAAAAAATTTACTCTGCCCCCTCCTTCAACCACACACACACACACACACACTGCACCCCCACACACACACACACACAGTGCTCCCTGTGACAAAAGCCATTTCGCCACTGGTTTTTGGAGAGGACTACTTGCCAGCCTTTTACTCTGACTATGGCCCCTTTAATTTATTTTGGCTGAGAGACCCAAATTGTGCCTATTGGGACTTTAAACATTCTTTTTTTTTTTCAAAGTCCCAAACAGTCGAAGTGGCAGCCATTCGAACACATGGTGGTGGCCATGTTGTTTGCATGCACTAAAACCGCAAATAGACTTCAGTGGCACCTAGCTGTGAATCTATGGAACTGTTTTGGCTATGACATCCTGGGTTTTGGATATGTTGTTCACCCAGATCATGGCTCTCAGGGGATGTAACATTTATGGGGATATGTTGTGTTTTGGGGTAATTATGGGACTTTATAAAAAGGTGTTTTTTCTGCCTGGGGATAAAAGTTAATGCATTAACTACCTTAATTATATAACAGGCAGAGGGGAGGGATTGTGTGCTATATGTGGGAGTGTCGTTCATTGTTACTTTGTTTTTATTGGTCTGTACAGTTTGTAATGCGGTGCTCCATCAGGTCCGGAGGGTGTGCCTTTGGCCTGAGGAATTGTATATAAAGTCAGCCTGTACCATTAAACCTTCAGACCTCTTCACCCTCAATACTGAGTTCTGTCTCTTGTAAGGAACTTCTATATCACTGCCAGGGATTGCTATACTCAGTATACTCCCTTTGATAAGCACTTGCTCTTGTAAGAGCTGTTCCTGCTACGCTCACTGAAGGAAGAGAGGTTCAACCACTGAAACCCTGGAGCCTTGTCGTAGGTCCGGGGTAGGGAGAAGACGGCGAGACCCCAACCAAGCTGCGGCGGTTTAAAAATCACTGTTCGTGCCTCTTTGGATTTTTATGACCACAGTTCAAACTTTCGAAGTGGCACTTCAAACTCCCGAACAATCGAAGTGGCCGCCGTTCGACATTCAAACACTTAGTGGCGGCCATCTTGTTTGCATGGACCAAAACCGTGAATAGACTTCAGGGGGACTTAGCCACGAATGCCCTATTTTCGGCATGAAAAACTTGCGGTTCCCGGTCAGTCTTCCAGCGGCACTTAGCCGCGATTCTGTTGGGGATTGGAGAACTACACTCTGTGGATTGCTATAATCACTAGTTCTTTTAAGAGCTGTTTGAGTAGGAGAGGTCTACCACCCCTGAGTAGTGAGTGGGGGCCCTAAATAAGAATAAGGGGGATTTAGTAATTGTGACAGAACCATCTGTCTGGTTATTGCAGGTGTATTCGTCTGTTTCTATCCTGTTCGTGTAAATGGCTCTTTTCTATAGCCCAGCCATACGAATGACTGTTTTTTCCCCGAACAAACCTGCCGAACGGATGGCCACCCAGGAGAGAGGTGTGCTGCTGGTTAACCTAT